TTTCCTTGATTGATACACCAAACACTACTTATATTCCAAATTTGAAGCTTCTAGGTCTGCTAGAAGTGCCTTAGAATTTTGATGATCGGTGAGTCAGTCAGTGAGTCAGTGAGTGACAAAATTAAGTAACTTTGACCCGTTATAATTATTAAACTACTGGTTCAAATTGAATAAAATTTTAAATATACCGTGTCTTTACAATGCCTGCATAGCTAATGAAAATTCAGCCTTCTAGTTTTATCAGGCCTCCGTCACTCGCCTATGCCGGCCGAGATAATTACCTACAGCGCGCGACAACTTCAAGTTGCAAATCAGTTCGGGCCGCCACGCGCCTGTGAGCACACGCGTATTTCTAACACGCTCGGTCGATCATTGTCACAATCAAGGTTTATTGTTCCAACAGCACTGTTATCCTTCTTTAATGGAAAATCATAATATTTAGAAATTATAATTAACTGTAGTAATTTTGATATATGACAAAAACTGTAGCAAAAAAAAATATTTTAGCTAATATAAACATTAACTTTACTTCACCGTGTCTATTTTCCGACACTACACCTTTTAAAACTGTTTGTCCAATTTCGAATTATCGCAACACTGAAATTTATTAATAGGTACTTTACAGATGGTACGATTATGCAAACACCACTAGATTACAGTTTACCAATCGTAAATACAATAAATGCTTCTTAAAATTTAGTTTTTATTTATTTTACTTTGCTTATACAACCCTGACGCTTGAGCTGTGAGGTAGATCAATTCTGAACACAAAAAAATTGCGCTCTTGTGAGCGTAGTAGTATGGTGCGATTTCGAATGCACCATGTGCGTTGGATATTTTGCATTATTATTATTACCGTTAAAATGTCGGCATCTGATCCTACACAAAGGAGTGCAATTTCTGTTGCTACTATTATGTATTCTGTGGTTTTATCCACAACGAAGTTACAGGCAGTCGAAAATGGCCTGAATTGCTTCGAGAAAAGGATGGTACGGCCGTGCCGCTTTTTGCTCGACTTGGTGGGGGCACTGCCGTGCCCCCAGATGATGGCTGACCGCTAGTCTAAGATGGGCAGATCATGAAGTGTCGGCGTTTTACGTTTTGCCTGAGCACATTACGATGTAGCTAATCTAACGATGGGTCCACGACATAATAATACCTACTATGTATAGTCAAGTCAATATACAAATCCCTAATACTACGGCTTGCCCTTCCACCACCGACCACCTCGACTGATACTGTGGGCCCAAACAAAAAAGAAGAAACACTTTTTCATACTCTTTTGACGTAAAGCTACCAAAATGTTGGTCAAAACAGAATAAAATGTTTTTTCATAAAATTACCTGAACAATCCATTGCCAGCAGGCACCAGAGATCTTTTCAAAACCTGTTCGCAAGCTTCTTCAGTCATGTCCGCGTGTTTCAGCAGCATTTGCCGAGCCTGAAGTGAAAGACTTTCTCAAGAAACAGATCAAGCAGACCTAAGGCCTCAGCCTCGAACTTAGCGGGCAGCGGGGCGGGAGCGGCGGCGGCGCTGGAGCGGGGCGGGCAACGCAGACCCGTTCTCGAAACAAGCGGGCAGCTCGCGCGGCGCTTTAGCGGCGAAGTGTTGTGTTCGGGGTTGTGTTGTCGAGATATTTGTTTTTTTTCGCAAACGAACAACGGCAACAATCTTATTTCGATTCAAATTTATTCCTAACGCTCGATTTATTGTGGGCAGCAGACACAGACAGCGTTGCCCGCGCCGCTCCAGCGCCGCCGCCGCTCCCGCCCCGCTGCCCGCTAAGTTCGAGGCTGAGGCCTAGGCACAGGCTAGCGCTTAACCAGCGGTCAGTTGCCGTTCCAAATTTCATACTGCATAGTTAAAATTGGTAATTCCTTTAAATTCTTTAATAAATTACCACAAACTGTTGTAGAACTGCCCATTTATAAATGCTATTATAATGTCGATGATTTTATTTAAAAGAAAAATGTTTCGGATGCTTAACTGCATAGCTCGCAGAAATATTTGTAACTATGTATATTTTATTTTTCTCAGCACTGGTCCATTTATCGGCCTGAAGCAGTGGCAGGGTTAATACTGGGTAGTGAGTAAAAACTAAAAACTAACTCCGCCCGCCGTCTAAAAACTAAAAATCTGGAATTTGTAATAACTAACAAATACTGCTAAGCGCACTTGGCCAATTTTTGATAAATAGGTACTTGACTACGATTAACGGACTTAGGATAATTTAACGGAAGTTAACGAGTCCGGTGAAATTTTTTAAAGTTACAAGTTAATCCGTCAATGAAATTTTAATTTCGTTATTTAATGATTTACGGATTAACGAGTTAATGCCCAACTATGCTACCTTTTCATATGTATATTTAGGCGCTGTTTCCAGCGAGCCGTGGAACTTGCAGTATTTATTCTCTTCATAGGAGCCGTAGTAAGTCCGATGCCACCTCCGCAAGTCTTCCCTGGTGGTGTCCCAGTTGTGGTGCGCTGGTGTGGGGTCTAGTTCCACCATCCGGGATATGTCCCCTGGGTGGACTAGGTCATACATCTTACCTGGAAGCCGTAATGATAAAATGTAGGTATTATAGATTTTTAGTCGGTGTTAGGGTCTAACTAGACTTCAGATATAGGTATAAATGAAAAAGGCGGACTGTATTTCATAGGTATAATAATATAAATATATAGTTAGTTAGTAGTACCTATAGCTAGTTCATATGTCAAAATGACAAGTTTATTCTTCAGTTAAAAGATATCTGATGATTGAAAAATCAGCCCTAAGTACTAAGGTTACAGTTTTTATAAAACTCCATATTTTATTGCATCGCACACATATCAGCACCGCTGCACCGTAACGTAAACGCTTCGCCTCACGGTTGACAGCGCGCGAAAGGTGATGACAGCGCGCGAAAGGTGATGACAGAGCGCGCGAAAGGTGATGACAGCGCGCGAAAGGTGATTTCAGCGCGCGAAAGGTGATGACAGCGCGCGAAAGGTGAAGACAAGAGCGCGCGAAAGGTGATGACAGCGCGCGAAAGGTGATGATAGCGCGCGAAAGGTGATGACAGCGCGCGAAAGGTGATGTCAGAGCGCGCAAAAGGTGATGACAGCGCGTGAAAGGTGATGACAGAGCGTGCGAAAGGTGATGACAGAGCGCGCGAAAGGTGATGACAGCGCGCGCGAAAGGTGATGACAGCGCGCGCGAAAGGTGATGACAGAGCGCGCGAAAGGTGATGACANGCGAAAGGTGATGACAGAGCGCGAAAGGTGATGACAGAGCGTGCGAAAGGTGATGACAGAGCGCGAAAGGTGATGACAGAGCGTGCGAAAGGTGATGACAGCGCGCGAAAAGTGATGACAGCGCGCGAAAGGTGATGACAGAGCGTGCGAAAGGTGATGACAGAGCGCGCGAAAGGTGATGACAGCGCGCGAAAGGTGATGACAGCGCGCGAAAGGTGATGACAGCTCGCGAAAGGCGATACGTGTTGATTCCTTTCCTCGCTTGGCAAAACCGGACCGCCGGTTTTTTATTCGCAGTTAAAATAACCAATATGCCAAATGACAAGTGGTTAAATATCAGTAAACAATGTTTTTCGAACAACGGTTAGCTTGACTTTTAGTACATTTTTTAACTTTTAGTTAACATAACATTTTGTTATTTTCACTATGTATCAAAAAACTGGGCCTAAGTTGCACCACCTAATTTTATCAGACTTTAACCGGTGTTCTCATATGGATTTTGACGTTTGATAATGCTATGGTTCAGCCAAACCACGCGATCAGACACGATCAGCCGTCGTTCAGCAATGGCGATCATACTTAAATGCATTGTTCGCGTGAGTTTGGCTGAACCTTTAGTTAGATATCTTAGGTATAGTTCCAAAATACTGAACTGTCCTATGCATGACATTGACAGTGGGGCGCCACCGTCAATACCGGATCGCTGGTTCCGATTTTTGCCATGTTGGAAACCATATAGTTGAACGATGGTAGCGCCCCCCTGTCATTGAGTTTGGTGGGACAGTTCAGCGTGGGTCATCTAATAGGTACTCAGTTAAAGCACAAGTTAAAGAGTGAGTTGCACTAAAATGACGAATAAAAACGCCATGCCAAGTGAAGAGAAATATGGCGATGCAGTCAAAGAAATTACCCTGAACATGGCACTGGCAAACTGGTTTTAAATATTTCATGAAGATAGCCTTGTTACTTTTCCAGTAAGTAATTGAGGTATCCAGTATTGCGCACGTATCCAATATTCGGTTCCGGTTTAAAGATGGTGAAGCTATTGAGGCAATCTCAACTTTACAACATACCTATCAAAGCACCCAACGAGTGCCCCATATAAATGAAGTGGTCCCATCCAAGTTTTCTCTTAACCACTTGTATAGCTGGTAACATGTCGAAGATTGTCAGAGAGATGCCTCTTGGTAGAGGATCCGACATACCGTTCCCTGGTGAAAAAAAAAGTACAATTTGCAGTTTATCTAGCTATTCAATAAGTCTATTCCACTTTGATCACCTGGGTGATCAAATCAGGTGCATCATACATTGAATCGTCTAGTCGCTCAAGCAATTTTACGAAACTCCACCCACAAGAGTAAAATGGGATCCACGCGTACTTACGAAATCATGGGCGGCCTCTACTTAGTAAGTATATTTTCCTTTTGCTTTGATTTTCAAAAAGCTGTCTAAGAAATTTTGCCTAACCTTGGTCTATCTAGCTGATATAAGAGTGTGCAATAAAGTGACTGATAGTGAAGCAAGATATGGCGGCCAGTGGTTTTTCTTTTTAGATAGATAATATTTTAGCTAATAAAATTGAAGTTCTTTGAAGTTGTCAATATGCGTAATATCTCTCAACCTCCAAATTTTAGATTATGGTAAGATATGATAAGATCTCCAAAAATTGGGTCTACGCAATAATTACGTCTCGGGAAATAACCGCCCACTTGAGCTCCTCGTATGTTTTCCTGATTTATTTCGTTGCGGGTCCAATGACAGTTTAACTTTCCCCCCGGGACAAACATGACCTTCACTGGTTGGGTTATATGTAGCTTGACCGCCAGCTGTAGATCTTGGCTACACAGGAGTTGCAGCGGTGGGAACAAGAGGTGGGAATAGTCCCGTATACATAATTAAATTAAATTGATAATGATGTGGAAAAAAGTGCTTTAGCTCACTTCTCAGTGCGCTCTTATTTCGCGAGGCAGTTTTTTTGCGCTGACCCGATTCTAGCATCCATGTGCACTCACATTTATTATTATACGCAAAGCTTAGCACAACCAGGCCTGGCTCACTCCGCGCGGTACATCCGATAATTACCTACAGCGAAGCGCCCCGCCGGCGGGTATTATATCAGTCGAGTGTCACGCGCGCGCTCGTCAGGACGCTGGCGTGCGTTGTAGTATGATTATAATTCTATGATCGAAGTATTATTTAAAAATGGACATAAAGAGAAAGAAATATTGTGCGGCGTTCGGGTGTTTAAATTCGAAAAGTAATCTACCGGATTTATCTTTTTTTTTCGCTTCCCAAAGATGCTGAAAGGTTTGTTGGCCATATAGGTAATCAATAATTCTTAGGATAGTATAGGAACCTAACCTACTATGAAGGTTTTCCATAATGAATGCATACTTACCTACATACGTACCTCATTACAAATAAGTAGATTAATTATTTTTTCATTAGACAGCAACCCTAACAGCGTAAGAAGAGTTCAGAGGCACGCGATAGAAAGAGACAAAACTTGTAGGTGAATAAAATTGTAGGTACGTAGTGCTGTGCGAGCTGAATTCCACTGTATCGCGTCGTAGCAAGACTCGCATTTATTTAAATCGTCTTGCGGAGTAATCCTTCTGTACCTGTACTATTACTTATTCTGTGGCACAGCTTAGACCTCACGAGCTGTTACAACCCGGTGTAGTAACTGCTCACCTGCCAGCCCTGATGTCACATCGGCGCTCAGAGCCCCGATTACGGTAATTTTTAACGTCAACAATCCAGACACGCTTCTCGATTCTGCGATACGATTGGTCGTTCAACAGCGTACGTCAGCTGTTTTGACCAATCGTATCGCAGAATCAGAAACGCGTCTGGATTGTAGACGTTATAAAAGTTACCGTAATCGGGGCTCTGGTACGGGAATGGGACGGGGCGAACGCAGGGAGGTGTGTGTGTGTGTGTGTGAGGGACTGCATTCCACACAGGTGCGTAATTAGCTCGATCGTACACTGACCTGGTAAATCTATAGCCACAAAGTAGAAACATTGTGGTAGCAGCTTGACAAGCGGTCCATATCCTGTGCAGACATGCATTTTACCAGGCACTAGCAACACTGGTGGGTGGGCGGGGTTGCCCCATGTTACACCTGCAAAACAAAACCGCTTTACTCTTCCCGTTTTATGCAGGAACTATTTTCTGCCGTGATCGAGTTTAATACCTAGTAAGTATACATAAAAAGCTCATTTTGCCTTTGTAAGTATTAAAAAACACTATGACGACCCATTATTAGGTAACCCTACCACTGCATCGGGACAAAAATGGGAAGCGCTGGGAAGAAGCAGTGCAAGAAACTCCTAACATAATAGGTAATAATGATATAGTATTAATAAATGATAACTAGTTACTTTGAGGAAATCCATAATCTATATCTATACTAAATCTGTAGAGAGGTCAATTCTGTACATGAAATATTATTTTCAAAATAACTATCAGGGGGTAATAAGTGATCGATACTGATGCCAAAAATGCAATCAGTAAAATCTGTCTGTCTGTCTGTCCGTCTGTATGTTCCTTATAGAAACAAAAACTACTCGACGGATTTTAACGAAACTTGGTATAATTATTCTCCGTACTCCTGGGCAGGTTATAGTATACTTAGGAATTCCCACGAGAACGGGAATTAGTGGGAAAATCCTTTTGTATGAAAAATCTAAACCGCTTAAGTTAGACGCTTAAAATTTGGCATGCAGGTACCTTAGTAAACTTAAAGCTTAGTTACAACATGATATTGCAAAATTCCTACGGGAACGGGAGTTAGCGGGAAAAAACATTTGTATGAAAAAATCTAAACCGCGTAAGATAGATGAAGGGGGTAAAACGGGATCCACGCGTACGAAGTCGCGGGCGGCCGCTAGTTAGATAATAAAAAATATAAACTGCGCTAAAAAGCGAATTAAAAGAAATAAACTAGACTCCAAAAAAGTACACTAAAAAGTAGAGAAATAATCAAGTTCTTTGTTTAATTAGGATAATTATTAAGTCCATGATTGATATTATCTTCTCCTTTTGTTGAAATCGGATAAAGTGATATAATTACTTAACTTAAAATTTCCGCTTAGTGCCCAAAAACATCTGATTTTGTTTGTAGGAAAGGGCCCGATATCGGGCTAGTTCAGTGATTAGTCCCACAATAGGTTCGTCCCACTGGGACGAAATACTGAATTAAAAAAATATGTTTTTTTCATTCGTCCCATTTAATTTCTTCTTAAACATAATGAGATTTAGTAGGTACATACCTACCTACCGTCAGAAAGTCAATGAAATAAAAGAAAACATATATTATTATTTTAACAAGGTCTGTATTTAAAAGGAAATCAACATAGAAAATCTTAACTACTTTTATTAATAAGAAATCACAGATTAAAGAATCACTGAATCAAATATAAAAATATAAAAAATAAAATTGTTAACAAATTCATGTCTTCTTTTATTACATTGAATTTCTGACGTACTAAATCTCATTATGTTAAAGAAAAAATTAAATGGGACGAATCTAGAACGAAATATATATTTTTTTGAATTCAGTGTACCTATCGTCCCAGTGGGACGAACGTGTTGTGGGACGAATCACTGAATTAGCCCGAAATCTCACCTCTGATCATGCCCCAGGGCGCTTCAACACTAAACTGCTTTTCCTCTAACATTTTAGGTTCGAACTGCAATGTTGGGTGATCTGAACTACTCTAGACTATTCCTGTAACTGGTGAAAATTATTATGTTCGTATATTGAAAAGTCTTATCATAAAGTTATATGACAATTTTATACAGGGCGATAATGCAATCATTTGCCAAAATATGAGTAGGTACTTAGGGACTTACCTGAATCGAAATCAGCAACTTGATCAATTATTTACAATTAATTTAAGTTTTTACACATCAAAATCGTATCGACTCGTTCATAGAACAAGTGCGAGTCGGACTCGCTCACCGAGGGTTCCGTACAAACCTGCAAGGTTTACAAAGTTCGTTCATTACGACAATCGAGTCATAACTGTGGTATTTTTATTGCAAAAGGAAATTCATAAGTTTATATTTATTAAAAAATATATATTTTGTAATGTAACTAAAAATTTAAGGTTTCGGAATTTTTCCTTCATGTGTGCTATAAAACGTTGCTTCATGCCAAATTTCAAGATTCTAGGTCGACTGGAAGTACCCTTTAGGTTTTGATTCCCTTGCGAGTACTTGCGAGTTTCAAAATATGCAGCTTATATTGCTGTTTCTTTTGATTGCGTTGACATAGAAGTTTGATTTTATTACAACTTAAAGGTATTAAGACCTGAGTATTTGGTATGAATTTCAATTTAATACCTCTACGCGTTTATGAGGAAATGGGTAGTAAGTTTAAAATTATTTAAAAAAAATATATTATGTGATGTAACTAAAAATTTATGGTTTTCGTAATTTTTCCTTTATCTATGCTATAAGACGTTGCTTCGTACCAAATTTCAAGATTCTGAGTTCACGGGAAGCACCCTGTAGGTTTTGATTCCCTTGCAAGTGTCGAAAATTTGCGGCATAAACGGCTGTATCTTTTGATTGCGTTGGCTTAGAAGTTTGATTTTTTCACAGCTTCAAGGGACAGTAGACCTGAGTAATTGATATAAATTTCAGCTTCATACCTCCACGCGTTCCTGAGAAAAAGGGTCTTGACAGACGGACGGACGGACAACAAAGTGATCCTATAAGGGTTCCGTTTTTTCCTTTTGAGGTACGGAACCCTAAAAACTAGCTTTAGAGGCCGCGGCTTCACCCGCGTTAAATTAATTTTGTAACAGATCGTCATAGATTACAGCTTATAATAAGTATGTTATTCTAAAATCAAAAATATTTATTCAATCTAGACCACAAAATCAATCAAATATATTTATTTGCATAAAACAGGGTTACGAGTACAATGGATCTTTTACATTTTCATGTTTAGAAGTGTCAGTGCCTGTTCAGCCATAAGTCATAGCATGCAAATATTGAGAATACCAGTTTTCAATAACATTAAATTACATTACATTTCAATTAATTGTTTCATTCATAATTAATGTCAGCATTCAAAATAAATTATAATAAAACAGAATACAATGATTAAATCCCAGATCGTCGTCACTTTTACTATAGGTACATAAATTCAAAGTCAGTCAATCTGTGTCCTATCAAGCAGTGCACTCATTTGCTATACTTCATAAATTCGTCAAAAGTGTAAAAAGCATTCACCAAAAGCCATTTTCTAATAGATGCTTTGAAATTATTATAAGGCAATTGTTTAATTTCGTCCGGTATCTTATAAAAATTTTAATAGTCATTGTTGGGGCATTTGAAAGAAAGCGAGTTGTTTTTGGAAGGGTTTCCAATAATAACTTATTAGGGAATCGTACATAACACTTCTCTCTGATACATTTTTGGTTTTTCAGTGGCGTAGCTTGGGGGGGGCAGGGGGGGCCATGGCCCCGGGCGGCATATGAAAGGGGGCGGCGGATAAGAAATAAAAACATTGCATGAACAAAACAAGAAAAAAAAAGTTATTCCAAATCGCGTCGTAATATGTTACGTACCGATAAAGCGAAACGAAACGCACAAGTGTGCGCAAGAGAGGACGATAATCGCTTGGTCGGCGCGCGACGAGCTCTACAATATGCTAAAAGTTTATGTGAAGAGCTTGGAATTTCAGTAGAACCCCCAAGACAAATCAAGAGAAAGCATCTTTTTGGCGATGGATCTTTAGACGTTGGGTTATCGTACGAGAATGAACTCAGGCGAACAATGTTCAATTCAATAGACAGAGTAACTGCTGAAATTCGTGATCTAACGCAAAAACGTGCAAAATCTAGCGCAAAAGTATTTCTTTTTAATGCCGGCAGTAATGCTGGGCTCAGAAAAACTTAATCTAGATCAAGCTCCTCGAGACATAAATACAGATGAGTTCCAACATGAGCGCGCACGTCTACGAGCGTTCGTAGCTGCAACAAATCCAGACTGTAAAAAAGAGCTTATGAAGTCCGGCTCTCTGGGATTATTAAAATATATTATTGACTCCAAACTTGAAGATGACTGGATGATTGATCCAACGATCATAGCAAATGTTGTGATAGGGATAGAGACATGCGATTTTTAGTACAAAGATAATACGATAGAAAATAATACAAAGTAATAAAAACCACCTGTTATAGGGGCATTTTTTGGAGAAAGGACATTGTCAGAAACCGCCTTAGATTCCTGGGCACAGCAGTAAAGTATCAAAATTAATCTCTTACTTTTTGAATACTTAAATATTAATTAGATTGTAACGGACACTTGAGGATTAAAAAATGAAATATNTTACATGGATCTCACAACTTTTTACCGTAGAACAACTGAGTTGCGAGACTTGGTTTTTTTGACAAGTATTGTTTTTGATGGGATACAGTGTGTCCGGGCATGTAGTGATCAAACTTTAAGGGCGTAAAGCTGAGCTATTTAAGAAAATCAAACTTCCTGTGGGTTTCAAGCAATTGCTTCTCTTTAATGTATTTTCCTTCTGAAGCAGTGCGTGGTAGTTTATTTTGACTTTCAACAAATAAGGTGAATAGGGTACATGAAGTCCATTAAATATAATATTTAAACTTTAAAATATTTATAATTAAAATAAAGGGCGGCGGATTTCCGGACGGCCCCGGGCGGCGAAAAGCCACGCTACGCCACTGTGGTTTTTGTAAACTTATGTTTACAAGTGGAACTTCTGAATTACTTAAATAAATAAGTAAATACTGACCGCCTCGAATCCTTTTCCGCGTTGATAATGTGCGACGACCTCAGATCATAGAATGGGATTTCTTTCTATGATCTGAGGCGACGACCATAATCGTATCGGAACTATCGGAATGTCTCAGAATGTAAAAATATGTACATAGTATAATGCTGTACATCTTGAATTTTTGACGGAGGCCATTGATACTTGGAGGACATTGTCATCATCTGATCCTCCCCAAAACCCTTCAGCCCAACGGTTGTGGGACGAGCCTGTCTGCAGAGTAGTGCGGGATAATTTACTTCAAACGTCTACCAACTCTGCAGACCGCGCTCGTCTCCTAGCCGTGGCTGAATGGGAATCAGGCCTATGGCTGAAATCCCTCCCCTCTCCTGCTCTTAGCACTCTGATTGATAACATTTCTTTCAGAGTGGCCATTAGTCTCCGCTTGGGGGCGCCTTGCTCGGTACCTCATCGCTGCTCTTGTGGGAAGGATGTTGATCAACTTGCTCACCACGGTCTTTCTTGCAACAGAAGTGCTGGCCGAATCCCTCGTCACGCCGGTTTGAACGACGTCATTAGCCGGGCGCTTGTCAGCGCTCGTATTCCGGCCATCCTCGAACCGAGCGGCCTGTCTCGTAGCGATGGGAAGCGTCCGGATGGAATGACGCTTGTTCCCTGGGTGATGGGGAGGCCACGGTAATATTATCATACAGTATTGTAACTTCATATAAACGGACGAAACGCGAGTTTTCCTTCGAAATTCAAATCTCGGTATGCGCTCGACATGCAAAAGTCGGGGGTGTCGCGAATGTGCAATCGGACGATGTTTTGTTTTTACCTATTTATACAGGGTGTCAGCCTTCAGGTTCAGAATGTCCAATTCCCAAAATGTCCAACGGTTTCAAAACGTCCAATTCCCAAAATGTCCAATTCTCAAAATGTCCTATTTCCGAAATGTCCAATTCCTGGAATGTCCAGTTCCTGAAACGTCCAATTCCCAAAATGTCCAATCTACTATTATGATGGGTTTGTTAAATAAGTCCTCATAGGCTTTCCTAAAAATATTTAATAAATAACCATACTTAAATTTAAATAATAATTTATTTATTTACTAATCATTATTTCCTTTTTAGGTCAATAGAAAAAAATATAAATAACTATACATACTTGTACGAGTATAAAGTGCAGTAGCTTCAAATTTTTTCTACGTACTATTGCAAATAATACAAATTGTCTATGTTTATATGCCGATTTTGCAAAAACTAAACGCTTTCGTACAGAAATATATTAATTACTAATTTTTAAGAAAGGCTATGAGGACTTATTTAATAAACCCATCATAATAGTACATTGGACATTTTGGGAATTGGACGTTTCGGGAACTGGACATTTCAGGAATTGGACATTTCGGGAATTGGACATTTCGGGAAATGGACATTTTGGGAATTGGACATTCTGAGAATTGGACATTTTGAAACCGTTGGACATTTTGGGAATTGGACATTTTGAAACCGTTGGACATTTTGGGAATTGGACATTCTGAACCTGAAGGGTAAATGGGTTTATAAGCCAACACTAGACCATGTTAACATACCTATATGGTGAAGTCAGTGATATCATAATTTTATTTTTATAATTTTCATACAAAATAAAATTTATAAAATCAGATTTGTATGAAAATTAAAATTATTAAAATAATGATATCAATTTTCTGACTTCATCATACCATTTATATACCAAGGGCTAGTGTCGGCTTATAAACCCATTTACCTAAACACCCTGTATAATAATCGATAATACGCCTAAGTCGAGACGCATAAATTTTAAGGTCGTAATAAAGATTTGTTACTAAATCTTATCACAAATTTATATTCTTTTCATTAAATCTACTAATCACTAAACAACATGCATTTTTATCCTATTTCATTCACAAAGTATTTTGTTAGTCAAAATAAAATGAAAATTACAATCACAAAATACATTCACAATACTAGATAATAATTCAAAGTAGGCAGATGTAATGAAAATAGGGCCTGCAAGTGGGCAGCCCTATCGCATCTTGTCATACGGTGACGTTCCGCGCGGCTGTTGATATTTATTTCAAAAATATGGCAGAGTTGGAATACTGTATAGATATTATTACCGTGGGGAGGCCTTTAGTGTGGGACGCCACTTGCGTTGACACTTTAGCGCCCTCCCATCTTCCTTCTACCGGCGTCAAGGTGGGTTCGGCTGCTGCTTCTGCAGAGGACCTCAAGCGGCGCAAATATGAAAATCTCAATGAGACTTACATATTTGAGCCGTTTGGAGTTGAAACTCTGGGCCCGTGGGGACCAAGTGCCCACAAATTGTTTCGTAAGATGTCTAAACGTTTAGTTGAGACATCTTACGATCCAAAGGCTGGCCTATACTATACCTTGGCCAAAGAATTAGCCTGGCCATCCAGCGTGGCAATGTGGCCAGCCTTCTGGGCACCTTCCCCCAAGACAGAGAATTAAAGGATTTTTTTTTATTTATAAGCCATGTATTTTATTTAATTTTTTAAATTAGGTTTAGTTTAGGTTAATTAAGTAGTTATCTTTAAACATTATTATTGTATTATTTTATTTTGAGAATACGGTAATAAATGCAACAAAAAAAATATACTTAATATTATAAATTGCATGAATCCGATGGAAAAAAAAGAACTAGATTCGTTTACTTAACTTTAACCCCTTGTTTTAATTTTTGGACTCTCTGAAAATAGTTAATTTTAAACTTTCGCGTTGCATGAAATTAATTTAAACAGGTTTTAACGCGATACACTCTCTGAAAATAGTATGCAAAATTATGGCTGAAATAATATAATGATGATGGCGATGAGGATGCAAAAGAAGTAGAACACACAGATAATGACAAAAAATGAGTTTATTTTTTGTAAATCTTATTATTATGACTACAAATTACGTAAATATATTTACAATACAAAGTCACCACCACAGTACATAGTACAAACGCTTCTAGTAGATAATTTATTTATTTATACAGAAATTATCATATTTTATATCCGTTCCTTTGTACCACACAAGTTGTATGACATGTACCTACCTATATTACATAATTGAAAAATAACAATATACAATATCACAACTGAATAATAAAGTACACCTAGATATTATGAACAATGGTACAAACAAAAACAATACAGAAATATTATTTTTCTTGAAAAAAATCCGTTGTTTTTCAGGAAAAATTACGTAAAACACGCTATTTTTATTTAGTGTTTCAACTTATCAATAAGTTCATCATCATCATCATTTTAGCCACAGGACGTCCACTGTTGAACATGGCCACCATATTATGATTTTTCCACATCGCCCGGTTTAGGGACCTGCATCCAGCGCTTTCATGCTGCCATTATGAAGTCGTCGGTCCACTTTGTAGGTATACCTACTTACCCTACTCTTATTATACCTGATTACGTCTAAATATCATGGCAATTTACAAAGAATATTATTATGACTTAGTGTCTAAACATATCAATAAGTTCATCATCATCACAGGACGTCCACTGCTGAACATAGGCCTCCCCCAATGATTTCCACCTCGATTGGCAGCGGCCTGCATCCAGCGCTTTCATACTACCTATATGAAGTCGCCGGGTACACCTTGTAGGTGTACCCTACCATATTATAAGTAATTACGTCTAAATATCATGGCAATTTACAACTTAGATCTATTCACGAACAAAATCCTTCTTCTACCATTTTCTCTCACCAGTCTTACCATGGCCAAGTCAAAATGGACCAAATCTACGTTTCTACACACATTTAATAACCCTATAAGGTCTTTAGGGAATGTGTTTAGGACTCTTCTGTCAAACCCATTGACTAGACACTCTTGGAAGTCTATGGTGGCTGCGCTCGGTGGTTTTTCTGAAGAAAAGCATTGAGGGCTTCTGCTAGGTCTGAAAATGGGAAGGGATTAATTAATGACTTTTAGTTTTTATTTGGTTTTTATGAAAATACATGTTTTTATAACAAAAGTATGTTTAAACGTTTTGTAAGTATGTGGTGCAACTGCACCACCTAACTTTGACCGTAACTATAACGATAACCGGTGCTTTTTGTATGGAGTTTGACAGATGTTTGACATTTATTAAAGTTAAAGTAAGATGGTGCAACACAGCCTTAGATTTACCTTATAAAATTCAATTACCTTTGTCTGTACTTCCAACTCCTTTTAGTTATCCAGGCGTCAAAATCCGTGTACAATTCTTCTAGACCGCCAGAATAGCCAGGATCTGGAAATATAAAGAAAAAGTAAAGTAACTGATATATTAATCCCATCAAAAACAATACTTGTCAAAAAAACCAAGTCTCGCAACTCAGTTGTTCTACGGTAAAAAGTTGTGAGATCCATGTAATACCAAGTCCAGGCCAGGAAATCTTTAACGTTTTACATAAATTATTGACTTGGCCATCGCACTAAATAATTTAATTTACACGTGTTTTCATGCACAACTATCGGCCAACTAAAAATCAACGGTGTGCGCCTACTCTTAGTCGTATCTTACGACTTCCAAGGGATTTTGTGAAAAATATTATTGGCAGGTAGTTGCTAATTGCTCATAAGATAGGCCCCCTTAATTTAATTTATTGTCCGTGGTGCATAATCTTTTCTTAAAGGTTTTAAACTTTTGTTTGTCACCTGTCATCCGCTTTGCAATGGAGGGAAGTCGAACCTTAATTTCAAACTCCTCCTATGTTCTTCTGATTAATTTCGTTGCGGGTCCAATGACAGTTTAACTTTCCCCCGGGACAAACTTGACCTTCATTGGTTGGGTTTTTGTGGCGGTCAAGCTGTAGATCCTGGCTAAACAGGAGTTGCAGTGGTGGGAACGAGAGGTGGGAATAGTCCCGACTTCCAAGGGAAAAGTGGGGTCTATTACATAAGGGTTGGAGAGACCTACCTAGCCTTGAGCCTAGAGTTGCGTAGAACTCTCTTTTTGGTCTATCTATTCCGCTTTGATCACCTGGATTTGATCACCCAGGTGATCAAAGTGGACTCTAAGAGACACTTTGGTGTCCTTTGATCACCCGTGGATAAGATTAAGATCATCCATGGGAGAGCAGAATTTATTTATTTATTTTATTGGGCTATCAACATGAGATACAGCATTAAACTCAATAAAAAAGGTCTCTAGCTAACTGCAAATGACACCAAAGTGTCGCTTAGATCCACTTTGATCACCTGGTTGATCAAAAATAGCAAATTCATTCAAATACGAGAATAAACGCTCACGCAAGCCAAAACAAAAAAAAAACCAGCATCCTTCTCTACACACAATTCATTGTTTTTTAATCAAACAATAGAAAATTCCTTTACTATTTATGAAAATAAAAACTACAAGTTATTTTGAAAATAAACAGACATAATCTAAAAAAAAAACTACACATTTTTTTTTCCTTTTTTTTAGTTGTTGCCCTTTTGACTCGCGGAAACGATTCTATTTTTAAGCTTAGTAAAAAAAAGGGACAATATTATTAAATTTTGATCCTCTAAAAACTAAATGATCTTTTTTGTATGTGCACTTTTAAAAATAAATGATGTTTTTTATTATATTTTATCTTTATATTAATTATTGGGTCTATATTAGTTGATCTACGGATAAATTACGAATGATCTTCATTTAAGGTAACATAATATTTATGTTTAACATACTCTTTTAATATTTGGTAATCAAAAATAATATTTGATCCTCTTTTTTAGTTATTGATCTTTAATTTTGTTAATTTGATGATTTTTATATCAAGTTTACCTTTTAATATTGATCACCTAATAAATACATTTCGATCTATGTATAACTTAACTTTAAAATATATTTGATCTAACAAAAAATATTATTGGTTAATATTTTTAATTAAAAAATATCTTTTAATTTACGCGGTACTTTGTGGTTGAGTGACAATCGTCCGTCATTGATTACTGAGTTGGCCAAGGGCTTAGCGGCCAATAAGCAAGCAGAATGGCACATTGCCATGTTTGTTTAAATTACAAGCTTTGCTTAGTTTGGGACTAGAGGCGCTATGTAAAATAATTTCTTACTTCTGACATCCCTGAACCCGACATCATAATTTTTACCTCTTTATTTTTTTCAAATCGCAAGGTTGATTTTCTCTTAGTATACCGATCTCGACCGTGATCAGTGACCATAAAGTCATCTGTCAACGGGTCGATTAGACACGCACGATAAAAGCACTAAACGATATTTGTTTACTTTTAGTGCGACATCGGGTCGTAAGGACCTGATAAGTTTTTTTTTTCAAATATTTACTGTGTTTGACGAAACAATTGCAAAACAATATTTATTTTTCGTACTACTGAAAAAACCGCATATATCCATCCCGCACCAACGCATCCAGCACCTAATGTCAATTCGACCCGATAACGCAGTGTGAACGTGTTAAGTATGCTTTTTTAATAAAAAAAAAATCTTTGTACATCAAGTGCCTTTAAATAGTTTCCATCCTTTGACTATAACTTAATAAAAATAAGTACCATAACATAATTATTTTGAAGATTATTTGATATAGACAAAAAATAATTTATACAAATCGAATTATTTAAAAAAGTATCACAATATTGAATATTTAGTGCTCATTTCTTTTATATTTGAGGACCAACAAGTAACGATCAGATATAATTTTTACATCTCAAATTTTTTTTGCGTAGTTCAAAAGAGGTTAAAATATCGATCGATTTCATTTATTTTATGTCTCACTCAAAGAAAGAGGATCAATCATTAAAATAGATGACCATTTAGATTTTTTTATTTGCCGTTTTTGCTAATTTAAAAAGATCATTTAAATACATGCCTAAAAAAATACCTACATGTTTTAATTTTTCTATAACATTATTCGTAGTTGTTTTACCGAATATGTCTGGTTGTAGATGTTTTTCGTTCATTAAACCCTTCACGGAATATTTAAGGTTTTTAAATTTTATAATTTGTCATCCGCTTTGCCTGAGAAAAATTCGTTTATCATAGATCTAGCTATTATCTGAGTTAGTGTCTGAGGTAAGGGCGAGGCCCGGGAGTGGGTTTTTGTGATGTCAAATTAGATTTCAAAATGTGCTTCAGAGGGCCTAGTGTGAGTTTACATAGTGAGCGCGTCAAAAAATGACATTAAATGTATGACCGATTGTACAGCGCACCTGGCGGGAAACGTTCAAAAACTAAAATTTTCATACATTTTTCCCGCGCGTACAAATTAATGTCAACGGGTCACTGACCGCGTCACCTTGTTCGACAGCTGATTTTGGCGCCATTTTGCTCGCGCGTGCAATGCTGCCTCTTACTACGATTTACGTTACAACATCATTTTAGTTTTAAGTATTTCGATCACGCAACGATGTTTTATGTAGAAGATACCTTTTTAGTGCTGAATTTTAATATGTAGGTTAAATAAGCTGTTCAATTTCCAAATCTAACATTACCTTGGTACAGTTGGTATAGTTAGCATCAAAATAGTTCGGGGCACCCAAAGTAGCCAAAAATGGCAGCCAATAGGGGCGGAGCAGTAAAGAAAAATATTGTAAAAACGGGAAATTTTATTCAAACTGAGTGTTATTACGGGTACGAAGACATGGGCACAGCCTTTCAAATGGTAAAAGAAATATCTTTTTAAATATGGATGCTTTGAAAATTTAAAATTTATACACACATATAATAAACTCACAATATTCACACTTTAATCCCTAGTAAATAGGTACCTACCTAATACTTAAGCATGATAACTTTTACAAAGGTCATGTTTATACCTGTGCATAATCAACAAACATAATTACGTATTAAGTAAGTAGGCACCTATACATTACATAATACTCGTAAAATTTTTAATAGCAGTTTAATATAATCAATATTATTTATACACTAGGCATATTGCAAGTTGCAACCTACGCGGTGCATGGGAAAATGTCAAAAGATCAATGTTCAAAGTCATAGGAAGTGTTATTTTGCAGCGAAAATGTAAAATTATGTGTTGTATTGTTGTTTAAATCAACAGTCTGCGAAAAATAAGTAGTTCGTGACACTCAGGTGACTAAAAAGTCGACTTGACCACCTTATTCAGATTGTAACAAAGACGTGTTGCGAACTTTTTGGGTACTTTGGGTGTCAAGAACTATTTTCAACCGACTTCAAAAAAAGGAGGAGGTTCTCTATTCGACCCGTATGTTTTTTTTTTCTATGTTTGTTACGCGATAACTCCGCCCATTATGAACCGAATTGAACAAATCTTTTTTCTGCGTAGAGGTAATACCTCAAGGGTGGTACCATTTAAATTTAATAATAGAAAAACCAACCCCCAAGGGTGGAAAATTGGGGATGAACTTTTTTATACGCAATATCTCCGCCGATTATAAATCAATTTGAACGATTATTTTTTTGTTGAATAGGTATTATCAAAAGGGTGGTTTCATGCGAATTTGAAGAAAATATTTCACCCCCAAGGGTGGAAAATTGGGGATGAACTTTTTTATACGCAATATTTTCAATTTTTAGTTTTTTTTGTGTTCACGCATTTGAAGTCGGTTTTATTTTTTTTAAAAGTTTATTATTCGCAGACTGTTTATTTATTTTAAACAACAATACAACACATCATTTTACATTTTCGCTACAAAATAACACTTCCTATGACTTTGAACATGTAGCTCACTGTAGTACACCTACATTTAACTAGACATTGCGATTCCTATCTCAGGTAAAGTAGTTACAAACCTTTGTATCGACTTTTGTACCTACACTGTACTTAATTGCTTATGATGAAAGAGACGGTAATTATTAACTAAGCGATTTACAACGATTCCATCGTCATCATCATTATCGTCATTTAATCTCCACTGCAGGAACACCACGCTAATTTACCAGAGGCAAATGGAGGACCAAAGTGACTGACATAGCCCGCAGAATCGCTAAAATCAAGTGGCAGTGGGCGGGGCACATTGCTCGTAGAGCTGATGGCTGTTGGGGCAGGAAAGTTCTCGAGTGGCGACCAGGGGCTGGAAGACGTAGCGTGGACAGGCCTCCTACTAGGTGGACCGACGATCTGGTGAAGGTCGCGGGAGGTGCCTGGATGCGGGCGGCGCAGGACCGGTCTTTGTGGAAAACCTTAGGAGAGGCCTAGAGGCCTTTGTCCAGCAGGGGACGTCTTAAGGCTGAAACCAAGGAACGAACGAACGAAATGGAGAATTTGACCTACACTGGCCAAGCCTGATGCTCGCTTAAAGATGAACTGAACTCAACCCACCCGTGACATTGACAGGGGGGCGCCACCGTCAATACCGGATAGCTGGTTCCCATTTTTGCCACGTTGGAATACACTGAAATGTCATTTGCAGGAGGGCGCTGCCATCAATGCCGGTTACTATTTCCGATCTTTGCCATTTGACGTTTCAAAGTCGTTCAACTTTAAATATTTGCACAATACAACTCAAGTGGACGTCACTCACAAAAGTCAACGCAAAAAACGTTTACGTCAATTCTGTCAATAATCCGGCATCATAATTGACGTTTTTTGTTAACCTTTACTCGATAATCGATGATATAATAAGTATATACCTACTTAGGTATTTGTTTACGTTTATACCTTTAGATGATGACGTACACACAAGACAAACAATTACTTAGCTGTTCATAATTATGTAACTTGCTAATTGATTTACAAGAATGTTGTAATGTAAAAGTAATAAGTAATTTCATCAATGACAAACAATTATTAATCACTATCACTATCATACTTAGTTATTAAATAAAGTCGCTTTCCGCTGTCTGTCCCTATGTATGTATAATTTTAATAAATTTAAAGTTAAGCCTAAGTCTTTGTTATTGAAGAAATGTTAATATTGTATTGAGGATTATTTCAATGATAGAAAGTAATAAGTTGTAACTATAATTTTGTTAAATGCTTCCTTAAAGTTGTATGCTGTGTTGTCTAATTTGTTATTTTATATTCTTTGGACAAATCTTTGGACAATTTCACACAGCGCCAGCTAGCCCCAAAGTAAGCAACTTAATGCTTGTGTTATGGGTGCTAGCTTAACGGATATACTACTTATATACTTTTTTTTTAAATAAAAACATATTATACACAGTAACACCCAGACCCGTCACAGAAATTAAAATTCATCATTTCAATTTCTGCCCGGCCGGGAATCGAACCCGGGACCTCTCGGCATAGTAGTCCGCTCTGAACCACTACACCAAACGGTCGACAATATATTGGTTGATGTTTTTTAATTCTTCATGTGTTTTGTAATTTCCAATACGATTATGTTATTGTTTATGGAACTACTAGCTTTCCGCCCGCGGCTTCGCCCGCGTGGAATTTTGTCTGTCACAGAAAAACTTTATCGCGCGCGTCCCTGTTTCAAAAACCGGGATAAAAACTATCCTATTTTCTTTCCCGGGACTCAAACTATCTCTATGCCAAATTTCATCAAAATCGGTTGCGAGGTTTAAGCGGGAAAGCGTAACAGACAGACAGACAGACAGACAGACAGACAGAGTTACTTTCGCATTTATAATATTAGTTGGGAAGTTGGGATTGGGATGACTAGGTCTTTAGAACTACGCAACGGATTTTGATGCGTTTTTTTTAATAGATAGAGTGACTCAAGAGGAGGGTTTATAGGTAGGTATAAAACATGCATTATGGAAGACAAAAGCCGGGAAATTCCATTGCAACTGTGCGAAGCCGAGGCTGGCCACTAGTAGTATTAGATTAGACCGATTTAGATGAAGGTAGGTAAAAGGAAAGCGCTGGATGCAGGCCGCTACCAACCGTGCGATGTGGAAGTCATTGGGGGAGGCCTATGTTCAGCAGTGGACGTCCTGTGGCTGAAATGATGATGATGATGATGATGATGAAAAGGGGGGAGATAGATTGAGACCCAGGGAAAACATAATTTCACATTTTTATGTAAAAATGTTAACTCGTACTGTCAAAAAGTTATCAAATCCCATGTAGAGTCAAGCTTCTTACTCTACAAGCCTTAACTAAAGTTCTTACGCCCGTATTCACAAACGATACTTACATAAGTGAAGCAGCAAATCGAACGCACAGCGTCGAATAGAGTTCTGCGATTGGTTCGTGTGTCACCCTGTGCGTCCACGCGCACTGTGAGACCTCATAGTAATATCCTCCTCATAGTGTTTGTGAATACGAGCGTTAATCTATTACGCCCAACCCAAGTAAGGGTTTGTTCCCACAGAGAAATCCTGTTTTTTGCAGGATGAGTTCAGGGATCCGGCATTTAGTACTGGATTGCCGTGTGAACGAGCCCAATCTGTACAACAAGACATAAACTACACCGTACTAAAAACATAGCGAAGCGAGTTTTTTTGTTAAGGAAAAATCTCATCTATTCGATATGTTTGCCAACTCTTCACTTTTTGCCAGTGTTTTATTTCAGTTTTGTGGACTTTGGAGCTACCTTGATACATTGCCGGCTTGAATTTCATCATCATCATCATTCCAGCCACAGGACGTCCACTGCTGAACATAGGCCTCCCCCAATGACTTCCACATCTCCCGGTTGGTAGCAGCCTGCATCCAGCGCTTTTCTGCTTTTAGGTCTGGATTTACTAAATAATTTTTGGAGCCACGTACTTAACAGCATCTGTCTAGTGACACTCCCAGACAGAAGGCCCGGGTTCGATTCCTAGTGGGGGCAAAATTTTGAACCCAGTTTGGTTGGTGGTAGAGATTTTTCTAAGTCCGCCTGGCTAGCTACTACCATCTTACCTAACGCCCGTATTCACAAACGATGCTTGCTTAAGTTAAGCAGCAAATCGTACGCACAGCGTGATTGAATCGTGTGTCACCCCAGCACTGTGAGACCTCATAGTGATGTTTATGACCACGGGCGTAAGTCGCCATAACAACAATGTTAACAGCATTGTTGTGTTCCGGCAGTTGGAGGTAAGATAGCCAGTTCCTCCGTGGTTGAGGATGCCGAGTGAAGCTTGCTTCCACCTTCGGCCTGATCATCACTTTCCATCAGGTGAGATGCAAGCCAAGAGGTTCTACCACCTTGTGGTAAAAAAAACCTAAAACCCGTAAGTAGAGTCTCACTCCACGGTTAAAAAACGGGACTATTCCCACCATTGCAACTCCTGTGTAGCCAGGATCTACAGCTTGAGCGCCAATAAAAACCCCAGTGAAGGTCAAGTTGGTCCCGGGGGAAAGTTAAACCGTCATTGGACCCGCAACGAAATTTATCGATAGGACATCGTTACAATATAATAGTTACTCTTTATCCAATGCTAGTAACTGATTATTATGTAGTAAGTAAGTATACGTATATCAACATTGCATGTGTATATTGCCCGGTTTTGATAAAGGGGTCATAGTCCACAATGATGTTTATATTATTGTTTTGATATTTTATTTTAGTTTTATTTATACTTTCATTAAGTAATTAAACGTATAATCTTTATTTTTAATATTGAATCCATGTTTACCCTGGATATGCCATAACTTGAAAACGTCTTAACTTTTTAGAAGATTGAAGATGAAGTTGCTGATTGCGAATTTAATATTTTTACGCGCGTAAGTTACTTACTTATATTATTTTGTTCAAATTATTTTTAGTACTCGTTTTTTTACATTTTTACTTTAGTTTAATATGCCCTTTGTTTATTTAGAAAAGAGTAGATACCTACTCTTCCATACTAAAACATACTTAGTACCTAAGTACCTATTGTTTTTAAAATTATACAAATATTATGTTTTCAACAATACCTGTACCTACAATCTACAGTACATAATAAATTATCTAAGTCGTAGTACATAATAATGTTTATTTATGTAAGAAATGCGTAGTAACTGTTCGTAATCTTGTGTCGTAATTCTTGTAATAATAGTAGTTTGTTTTTGTAAATTGTTTTTGTAAACTACTTGTAGGCATAACAAAAACAAAAACTATTTTTTTTAATTCATGATCTTTTTGTTAACTATCACTGCCTCATTTTTTTTAAATTCTTCTCTTTTTGACTAACGCACATATTTTAATCTCAAATTAAATCAATTTTTCCTTTTTTTTTCTTCTACTTTTTTTACTGACGCACATAAAAACAAAACAAAAACAAATAAGTACTCACTTGAAATCGCTTCGGTCCCCATGTCAAAAACAAAACACAATAAAATCACAAGTTTCTGGCGCGAACTCACCAAAACAAGTGAACGTAAACAACTCGAATGTTGTTCTCTTTGACAACTGCGCGCGCGTCGGTTGTCTGTAGGGAGGCAAGCGCGCGTTGTCGATAATACCTAGTTTATACTAACTATTTCCCGCGGCTTCGCCGGCGTGAAAATTTTATTTTTAGATCTAAATATATGTACCTACAACTCAACATTTTATTTTTAAATCCAAATGACTGACTGATTGACTGACATCGTGATCTATCAACGCACAGCCCAAACCACTGGACGGATCGGGCTGAAATTTGGCATGCAGGTAGATGTTATGACGTAGGCATCCGATAAGAAAGGATTTAACGAAACTCCACCCCTAAGGGGGTAAAACGGGATCCACGCGTACGAACTCAACATCAACATATTGAGTATTGAGTATTGAAGTCGCGGGCGGCCGCTAGTCACCAATAAGGTTACACCATTACTAATAATAATAATAGAACTCTTTATTGCATACCACAAACCACAACATAACCAAGAAAAATTAAAAGAAACACACGGACAAGTACAATTTTAATGGATTCGGATCGTGCGAAATTGCTCTTGACAGTTATTGTTATAACTTGGCCTATTACCTCAATAGCAATGAAGCTTTTTTTTTATGCATAACAAGGCAGGTATTTGACCACAATCGCACCTGATGTTAAGTGGGATGCAGTCTAGGATGGTACATATCTGCCCTGTAAGTGCTTATTCACTCTCGCCTTGAAGAGGCCCGGATTATAGTTTTCGGGAAAGACAGCAGCAGGCAACGAATTCCAGTCCCTAGCTGTTCGCATTATAAAATTTTATCGAGTATTTAACAATGTGTAAACAATAATACTGTCAAGTTTTATCAAAATCCGCTCAGTCGTTTTCGCGTGAAAGAGTACCGAGCATCCATATCTATCCATCCTCACAAACTTTCTTATTTTTATTAGTAGTAAAATTCTTATCGTGCGTCACTTAACTAGCGATACACGTGTTCACTTTTATCGTTAATTACGATATTGCGTGATAAAGTTGAGTTGCTAATTGCAGTTTTACAGTTTATTAATTTAATAGAGTTAAGACACCACCAGTAAATTTATTGACATACCCCCTTACTAATAAAACTTACACGCTCATTGAACAGTGTTTTAAAGTGACGTTTAGTATGGAAATGTCATTTTAAAACAGTGTTCAACAACTGTGTAACTTTTTATTAGTAGGGTTGGGGGGAAGGGGGGGGGGTTAATGTATACTATGAGCCGTCAAAATGTTGTTTTTTCATAGATGGATAATTATCAATTTAAAAAAAAAAAAATATATCCATATACTACTAAATGACAGATAGCGACCTAAATAGCGACGTGTTATTTTGTATGGAAAATCATATCTATACTAATATTATAAATGCGAAAGTAATGTCTGTCTGTCTGTCTCGCTTTCACGCCTGAACCGATTTTGATGAAATTTGGCATAGAGTTTGACTCCCGGGAAAGGACATAGGATAGTTTTTATCCCGGTTTTTTGAAACAACGACGAGCGCGATAAAGTTTTTCTGTGACAGACAAAATTCCACGCGGGCGAAGCCGCGGGCGGAAAGCTAGTTCCTTTTACATTTGAACTTCGGTCTCGGCAGGAAAAGTTTTTGCATTTGAGCAGTGAAATAATTTGTTTAGATAGATAGATAGATAGTCATTTATTGTCAAAACTGTGCAGACATTGTTGTTACATGGATGTTAAATAACACAGGAACCAACAGTTTGCCCATTTCGGACGTACATGTTTGATCAAGTATAAAATTAACATATAATAAATACCTACGTCATTGATTGTTTTCAATGGTACACGAGTATTAGGTAAAGGCATCCACTGATGACGCTCTTTCCAACTGTGTCAACTGTGTCTTCAGCAGAATATCAACTATAATGTTTAATGTTGGATAGTCTTAATTGGCCTACAAAATCTACTTAAATAAATAAATGCTGAATGCTGAGTGGATGAACATTTCTTTCCTTCTTTCAAATATTATGTGGTTCTTTTTCAGAACTTTATTATTAGCTAAACGCTGTGGCATCGGAAATTTTAACGTCCATTTATGCAATAAAATTTGCATCTTGTGTAGATACTGTTAAAACTGCACTAGTCTTATCTATACTTATAATAAATCTGTAGGGAGGTCAATTCTGTACATGAAATATATTTTCAAAATAACTATCAGGGGGTAATTAGTGATCGATACTGATGCCAAAAATGCAATCAGTAAAATTTTTGTCTGTCTGTCTGTCTGTCTGTCTGTCTGTCTGTCTGTCTGTCTGTCTGTATTTTCCTTATAGAAACAAAAACTACTCGACGGATTTTAACGAAACTTGGTACAATTATTCTTCATACTCCTGGGCAGGTTATAGGATACTTAAGAATTCCCACGGGAACGGGAATTAGAGGGAAAATCCTTTTGTATGAAAAATCTAAACCGCTTAAGTTAGACGCTTGAAATTTGGCATGCAGGTACCTTAGTAAGCTTAAAGCTTAGTTACAATAGGATATTGCAAAATTCTCACGGGAACGGGAGTTAGCGGGAAAAAACATTTGTATGAAAAATCTAAACCGCTTAAGTTAGACGCTTGAAATTTGGCATGCAGGTACCTTAGTAAACTTAAAGCTTAGTTACAACAGAATATTGCAAAATTCCCACGGGAACGGGAGTTAGCGGGAAAAAACATTTGTATGAAAAAATCTAAACCGCATAAGATAGATGAAGGGGGTAAAACGGGATCCACGCGTACGAAGTCGCGGGCGGCCGCTAGTCAATATTATAAAATATTATTTTCTTTATTTAATTAGTGACGTCATGCCTACAATAACAAAGAAGACAATTTCCACAATCTTTTTTTATCTAAAAACAATCATAAATCTTTATCGGTCTTTACCAATAAACCAGAGATAAGATAGAGCATGTCCGCGCTATCGAATTATCGATACAAACAATCCACGGACATCACTAGCGAGTGCAACCGGTCGGTTTCGCCATTACCTAGATGCACGTCACAACTTGGATGGTTAGCTAACTGGTGGTTAGCTAATTTAACCTTGGGTTAGGTCAGTAGGGCGTTATGTGGTTATTATAAGTTTTAATCCAATTTACACTAATTTAAAGAAGAAAACGCAGCGTGGGACGTTCACCCGACGTTGGACCGACGACCTGATAAAGGTAGCAGGAAGGCGTTGGATGCAGGCCGCTACCAACCGTGCGATGTGGAAGTCATTGGGGGAGGCCTATGTTCAGCAGTGGACGTCCTGTGGCTGAAACGATGATGATGAAAGAAAGGTCGATGGTTAAAGTTTAATACCATTTTTTTGTGTCAACATGTCTGTTTTTGACCACTCAATAAGTCACTGAACCCGCGTTCATTTCACCTTCATCCAATGACATTTCCTGTTGATGTTGTCGCCCAGCGATAATCATATTAAAATTTTAACTAGCATTTGCCCGCGACTTCGTTCACGTAGATTTCAAAATCATGTTTTTTTATCGATTACTTACTAGCTAGCTGACCCGGCGAAGTCGTACATTATGTTCATCAGAAATAATGTAGGATTTTATTGGTGAAAGAATTTTTCAAATCGTTCCAGTAGTTTTGGAGCCTATTTTATTTTTTTGGTATCTACCAAATAAATGTTTTTTCTTTCTTTCTATTCAATACAATCAAACTTTTTTTTTCAGTATTAGTGTAGACTGTAGATAAATATGAATATTAGTCGTTTGATTAATTATTTTAGGATTTAGGGATATACGAGTATACCTATCCCTAATTTCAAGATAGAGTTTAGGTATGTGAGAATAGGTAAGCATTGACCAATTTGGTGCTATAATTTTGTTATGTTTTTGTTTGTTTAGTTTGTATATTATTGTTTTGATTCATAGTTCTAAGTCTTACACATCGTTTCTTTCTATTGTTCTTACCTAACAAATTGTCTAGAGATAATTATTTCCATAAAAACAAAGCCCTTATCATGTTTATTTGTTTATCTGTAGACTGTAACAACTCTGATTGCAGAGGTCGTCGACTTTCGTAAGGTTATCGTGTGACGAAAGCACATTAGAGTAATACATTTCTTTCGCAAACTCAACCCTATTGCAAGTACATAAGAAGCTTGTGTTTAGCTTAATGTGCCCCACGGCACTGTACCATAGCTGGGCATTAACTCGTTACTCCGTTAATCGTTAATTAACGAAGTTAACATTTCTATTAACGGATTAACTTTTAAGTTAACTTTTAAAAATGTTAACGGACTCGTTAACTTCCGTTAAATTATCCTAAGTCCGTTAATCGTTAATTCAGTACCTAATATTTACCAAAAAGATACAGCAGGCACGCTGAAAAACGTGTTCTGACAAAAACTTTCGAGCTTCCAGAACTTCCAGAACCCAAAACAACAGTTTTTGGGCTTATTTCATTATTAAGTTGTAATGCGTTGGTGATCCGGTTACAATGTTTTTGTATGAATTTAAGACCAGTTCTCCTCAACCGATTGAGATGTGGTATACTATGTAAGTACGATGAGAATGCAATGTTATGGTGCTATTGAGGAGGTCTGATGATGGAGTCAGGAGGTGGCCATAGAAACTCCTAAATAAACCGGCGGAATCGCATCGAATTTGGGTTCGTTGGATTGGTCTTTTTGAGCACTTTAGTACTAGATGATGTCCAGGGTCCTGATGATAGTCAGGAGGTGGCCATAGGAATTCCTAAACGAAACGGTGGAAACTTCTCGAGTTTGGATTTGTTGGATTTGTCTTTTCGAGCACTTTGGTGCTAAATTGTATTGTAATTGTACCAAGGCTCTGAGATTGAGATACAACTAAAAAGTGTATACTCGTAATAAAATTATAATAAAAGAAAACTTTTTTAAAAAAACAAGCTTTTATTCTGAAATGCAGTTGTACTAAAACGAAAAAATAATTGTACTTATGCAAGTTTCAGAAGTGAGATGGATCTATAATTTTTCAGCAAGGTTTTGTCGCCTTTTTTGAAGAAAAGTATCACCACACTTCTGTGCCATGTCGTAGG